TGGCCATTTAAAATTTATCAGAATCTACTCTTTTTTTTTTTTTGCACTGATTTGAATGCTTAGGGTAGGATGAAGGATGAGCCATCTACCGCCTCAGTACAATGGAGAGGAAACCTCCCACTCCACAGATTCAGGGTTTTGGAGCTGGAAGGGACCTTTGATATCATCTAGTTCAGTGCTTTTGTTTGGGATTGTGAATATCTCCATTAGACTTTTTAAAAGGCCAGGGGTTATGAGCACAGGTTCTGAAAGCAACAACCTGGGTTGAAATCCTGGTTCCATACACATTAGCTTTATCTTGAAAAAGTCACTTTATCTAAATCTTGGTTTCCTTATCTGCAGGATTGATACCTACCTCATCGGTTGAGTAAGGAAAAAAAATTATGTATAGAAATATTCTTAAAGAAAAGAAACCAAAAGGATATAAATAAAATGTAAATGGTGGTTATTTCTAAGTGATTGAATTATGGGTGAATTTTTTTTTGCCCTCTCTATTTTCTATAGAAAAACATCTCTATTTTTGTAGCTTCTATAGTGAATTAAAATACTGTTTTTCTCTGAGTGTCGGCAAAGCACTGCAATTATGATCATAGACTTTGGAGCTGGACTTTGTAGGTTCCAGTTACTGGCTGTGTGAGCTTGGGCAGGTCACCTAGCCTCTGTCTCAGTTTTCTCATCTGTAATATGGAGATAATGTTATTTCCATCATAGACTTAAATGAATTAATATAGGTGAAGTGATTTAGAATAGTGCCTGGCACATTGTATTATATGAATGTCTTCTAACATTATTAATATTTTCTTCTTCTATGTTCTTTCTCTCAAAATCCCTCTTCTTTGGATACTTTAACAAACTAAATTACAGGTATATGTGAGTAGCTCATTATAGTTTAATGTAGGTGTCAGCAGACTCTGGCCTGTGGCCAGGTGGCCCTGGAACTGAAAACAGTTTTTGCATTTTTAAAGGGCTATAAAAATAGACAGAAAAAAGAAGAATAGGCAATAGAGATTGCATGTGGGCCGAAAAGCCCACATTTTTTTTGGACACGTTATATTTTCTATCTGGACGTTTATAGGAAAAGTTTGCTATATATGTTGGCTTAATTTGTTTCCCCTTTCAAATATGTTTATGATTAAAAATCACCTCACTATAATCTCTAAAGTTGAGATTTCAAGAAATACTGTAAATAGGTAGGTTTGAACAAGGAAGATTTTTTTTACATTTTGTAATTATTTGCTTCCCTACTACAGTAAGATAACATTTTCTACCAGTGATTAAGAATCACTTTATTGAAGGCACAGTACTGTAGGATGAAACAAGCATAGAGGTACTTAAACTCGCCAGGCTGAACGGGACTGAGACTGAATGGGATCTCCAATGATTACTGTGCTTCTCTTGGCTCTGTCCTGCTGATGGTGGAATCTAACTACTGTGAGAACCCAGGATCATATCAGGTCTGGAATCAGCAAATTTGCCAGGGAAAGTATCCATTTCCTTGCCACAGACCCTTGCGGTAATGAGTGTGGGAATAGGAAAGCTGACTCTTCAAGTCTCTCTAGACCCTGGTTAGGCACATTTCAGAGAAAGATAGTTACCAGCTGTAAAATCTTTAGAATCTAAGGTTGTTAAAAAGCAATTGTTTTCAAATGGAAGGAAATTATGCTAGCTTTTTTGGTTTGTTTGCAAACATTAAGACTGTTAACCTGTGCCTAGCAGAATAACTTTATCTACTGCTTTTCTCCACCATAAGCAATTTATAGTCTTTTCATTTTTAATTTTTTTCATATACAGGCAAAACAGCCATAGCCAAGAGAGAGTGGGAGAAGAGACTTGATGTTCCTCTGAGAGCCCTCAAGTGAGACTGGTAGGTCACTGGCAGGTCTGTCTAGGAAGTTGATGTGGAGTGAGGGATGCATCTGTCTATTGAGTTCAGGAGTCTGTGGGTGTTGTATTGGGTGGAAGGTGGGGGGATGGAGGGCCACTTCCTTCTGACCTTAATTGGGTTTGCTGAGATTCAAACATGAGTGGTCAACTGAGGGGCTGTGGCTTGGCAGAGTCTGTTTGCATGAAAAATAAAGGACACTTCCTGAGCAGAGAGGGTCAGGCAGCCACTTCGACACAGTTAAAAAACCTTAGGTCAGAGGTGCTTCTGCGTACAGCATAGATTCTGAATTCAAACTATACTTTCAGCTCATCTCCTGAGTCCAGTTTGTGAAGGGAGGGCTTCAGAGTGTGCTTTCCCCTGCAACAGACTTTTGGATTAAAAAGCGTGGAGGAGATACTCCAATGCAGGCTTGGCAACCCTTTCTTTTCTCAAGCATGGTCACTTAAAGACATGTTTACCATCTAATATCCCCACAATTTTAGACAAGAAAGAAAATTGTAAAAAAAAATGTGACAATACAAATTTGACTTAAAAATTGAATTACTTTTGCCTCTATAACAAGCCCAGAAAGATGAGAACTTTAGAACAGCTTCTAGGAAACATTCCCCTCCACCATATTGCAACCACTTCGTTTCATTTCTTTCCCTCTTTGTTGCTGTATCATCACCTACTCCCTGCCTCAGTTCTTCACCCCCACACAGCACCCACCTCCCCATCAGTGTTTCCAACCACACTTTCTTTTTCTTAATTACATCACTTTAGTAGGGCATGGGTCAGCTATGATCCTGGGGAGGGAAGTGGGGAAACATGCAGAGAAGCAGACACTCAGGCTGAGTGAGACGTACCATTGGAAATAAGGTCCTGGAAGGCAGGGCCTTTATTTTGTTTTCCACTATATCCCCCCCATCCTGAAATTGGGTGCTCAATAAACATTCATTAAGTCAATGAATAAAATATAGACAAGGTATATATAGGTTCTACTGTAATACACCATCAGTGACTGAAGTAGTAGTCATTGCTCTTATTGGAGGTAATGACAACATCTCACAAATCATTAAAGGTTAAACCTTTTTGCAAAAACATGAGAAGGAAAAAATAATAATTGATAATATACTATCCTAATGCAGCCATTATTAAACTTTTATTGTTATTCTCTTCAGTGTTTTTTAATATGCATTTAAAATATATTTGTAATCTGAGAAATTTGGATAGGAAATATGGCACTTATTTTCAAAAGAACCAATCTCCTTTCCCTACAAGGTTTCATTCAAAACAAACTTAAGTGATGTCACCTGAGTAGGTCTGAAATAAGCTTTACTAATCTATGTTGAGCAATGAAGCACGTGGTATAAAGCATAGAAGACTTAGGGATCAAGGAACTATAAGATGCGCTAGTTCCCATTCTAAGGGTTTTTGTTTTAATTGATTTTAGGGAGAGAAAAACATTGGTTTGCTGTTCCACTTACTGGTGGGCTTACCACTGGTTGCTTCTTGTATGTGCCCTGGCTGGTGATCAAACCTGCTACCTTGGTGAATCAGAAAGATGCTCTAACCAACTGAGCTACCAGGTCAGGGCCCCCACTTTAAGGGTTTTAATATCTCATTTGTAAAATGAGAGGATTGGGGCTCCATAATCTCAAAGGTCTTCTTAAAGTCTGAAGTTTAATAATGCCTAAAAAAAGGTTTTATTGTTGCCGGGCCAGAGTGGCTCCGTTGAGAGTCAGTCATCCTGTGCACGGGAAGGCTGCCGGTTTGATTCTGGTTGGGGCACATACCGAAGGCAACCTATGTTTCCTCTTTCGCATTGACGCTTCTCTCTCTTTCTCTTTCTAAGCATGCCCTAGGGTGAGGATTGAAAAAAAAAAGATTTTATTGTTTTACAGTCTGATTGTAAAGCAGTTTATAGTCAAAATATTTATATATTCACGTATATAATTTTATATATAATAGTAACTGTTAATGTGGATACAAGAGCTCCTTCCATACAGAAATAGGTTTTAGGAATTTACATAAAGAGGCCATTTCTAGTTTTTCGGCACGAATTTTTACCTGACGGAACTGCAGTACGTAGTGTCACTTACCAGGTAGACTGATTATTAGTAATATAAAGGCCCGAAGGTAAATCTTTATCCTTATAAACCAACAAAACAGAGGTAATTCAAAACAGAGTGACAATAACAATCAGCTAGGAGTAATCTAAGGGACCGAGTAACGATAAAACATTAATTGGTTCATTGGTGCAGAAATGGGACGAGCAAAGCTCTACCACTGCGCTCCCGCCGAGAGGAAGGTAAAACAGGAAATTCTTTCCTGCAGTAACATTCAGGATCAACCCTCTGCCCCAGTTTGTTTCCCGAGGGGCCACCACGTCCTCCGTTAGATGACCTGGCAGCCTGATGATTAGTTCACTAACCTGGGTGTCATCTTTCCTTTGGAGGTAACAGTAGAATTGCACTGAATTCATCTCCACTGCCACCCCCAGGCAGGTGATTTAAAGCAGCGCCCCCAAAGTGCCCCAAACGCATCTGCTGTGGAGACTAAGCTGCTGTTGAAACTTATTTAAATACCCAAACCCGTCACACTTCAATAAGAACCAGAAGCAGCCCTGCTGCAAGCAGTTAAATAAAATTATACTAGAATGCAGCGCTTCCCGGGCTTGAATCCGGACCCGCAGCCGCGCTCCAGGAGGCGGGTCGGGAAAGAAGGCCTCAGGGCCGTTCACGGGCCTCGCCCCGCACGCGGTTTCCCGCACCAAACGCCCAAGCGTTCGTCCGCATCGTGTCCATAAGCGTCATCACCTATCCGCTGCACAATTGGTGTTTATCATAGCGACTGTCCCAGCGCGTGTCGCCGGCAGGCAACAAATTCCTGCAGCAACTCTCGGCCGCTGCGGGAGCCTCGGGCGAGCTCCCGGCCCCGCCCCGCCCCGCCCTCCAAAACCCGGCTCCGGGGTGGGGTGGGGGTGGGGCTTCCCTGCGCTTACCGCGGTGTCCTGCCGCCCCCTGCTGGGCGTCTTGCGGTGGTTTGCGAAGGGCGGTCCGGAGGCCCTCGGGGCGCGCGAGGCGGTGACGTCACGTCGCCGCGCGGCCGGGGCGGAAGTTAGTGGTCCATTTCCGCCCCCCGGTTCCGCTCCGTTCCAGAGGCGGAAGTAGAGCTCACTCCTGTGTATAGGTACGGTGGGGGTTGGAGTTGGTGTCTTGCTGCTGCTGCGCTTTTATTTTCAGAAGCGGGTTTGGGTGACTTTGATGTATAGCGGAGCCCCGTTTCCGCGCAGCTCCTGGCACCGTTGTCCTTGCGGGAGGAAGAGGCGTGGGAGGAGGCCATGGGCTGGAGCCAGGGGCTGGAGCCTGTGGGATTAGCCTTGGTTTAGAGGTACAGGCTCACCTGGGGGTTCGAACCTTACGCTTCACCTAAGAGAAGCGAGTAAGAAAACTCTGCGCTCTGTAATTTTAGGGATAATGCCTACTTTTTCATGCGCGGAGTTTAATGAAGAGCGTGTGTGTGAAGCACTTCGTTTTGGTTTTACAGATCATTCGCGATTCCGCTGCCCTTTCTGACCGTACTCTAGCGTGTACTGGCCGTTTCCTCCCTGATGCTGTGTCTCTGGGAGACGCTTGATGCGTCTCGCTAGATCATAATGCAGCGTTAGCTGGGATTGATCTGTTTATTCTGTATGAGGAAGTCCTGACGGTATTTTGTGCCCCCTCCCCTTTTTTTGTCATTTCTAGGGACAGCTATTTTCCAGCTTTTTCTGGAGGAGAGCAGAAGCCCTCTTTCCTTAAGACAAATGAGGTGAGAAATGCATTGTTGTAAAGATCTCTAAACAGCTTGCTTTGTCCAAAGAAGGCCAGCTGGAGTGCAGTGCCCAAGGGCCAGTGATGAGCATTTTCCATGGAAAGCCCCTTTAGTAGGCTGCTGTCGAGCCGAGGACAATGGAAAACCTCTTTTATGCCTTAGGCCGCACGAGTCGCAGGTACACAGAGTTGCAGTGTGTTTGTTAATTTTGGATTTCAGTCCTTGCAGTAATGGTTTTGGTTAATTAAAAACGTTAATTTGAGATAGAAATACATTATGGAATAGTAATTGTTTTTGAAACTTGTAGGTCGAGGCAGTTGATACTTCTTGCATTAGGCTGTTTAAATATTTATCCTCCTGGCTAGATGTAATGTATGTTGGATGGAGACTTACCAGGTTTAACATATTTGTGTTGAAAACTGAAAAATAGAGAAAGGCAATAAATATTTTCCATTATGCTTTTGCACTCCTAGACCATTTTATTTTTAAAAAAAAATTTCTTGTGTGATTGCAATAAACACATACAAATTAAATATTTTAATATTTCAGAACTAGTATATAGCTGCCCTTAATTTTTCAGAGATAACTGTTTTGTTTCATTTTTCTCTCTGTGTGTGTATGTATGTGTACACTTTGAATAATTATAAAGGCAGTGTTTATTAAAATATATTTCATTTTCAAAATTGAGCTATCAGCTGTTAAAGTGTGTATACTTTTTTTTTTTGGACACTGTGTGTGTGTGTGTGGGGCCATACTATTATGCAGTTTTCCCCTTATAATATCTTGGACATCTTTCTATTGTGTTAGATCTGCCCCCTTTTTTTTTTTTTGTAAATAAGTCGCTTAATTTTATTTTTTTAAAAATTTTATTTTTGTTTAAAATATTACAGATGTCCCTTTTTCCCCCCAATAACCCATTCCACCCCATCTCACCCCCCTCCCCAATCCCTCTCGCCTGCCTCATTTTAAATTTTTTATTTATTTTTATTTTTTATTTTTTTAAAACATATCTTTATTGATTTCAGAGAGAGGAAAGGAAGGGGATAGAGATAGAAACATCAGTGATGAGAGTCATTGATTGGCTGCCTAGCCTGCAACCCGGGCATGTGCACTGACTGGGAATTGAACCCCGAACTCCTGGATCCTAGGTCAATGCTCAACGGCTGAGCCATGCCCGGCCGGGCCCTAGTAATAAATTATTATAAAATAAGTGATTTACTTCAACAGTATGTGCTTGTTAAGTCAAAGATTTGTAGGAAGGTAGTATTTGAATGGGACTTTGAACCATGCATAGACATCAGGAGGATAGGCCTTTCCAAAAGACACCTTAAACAAAGGCAGGGAGACAAGAATGGACAAGGATGTTTAGGACCAGAGGTTTGAGGGGCAGTGGTGCCTAGTTGGGAGGCTATAGAATAGATTCTAGCTAGAAAGGTAGGGGAAACCATGTGGTGAGGGCTTAGAAGGTCTGTCTGAAGATTTTACTTCATAGGGGAGAGCTGCAGAGATATTTAATCAGGGAATGAGGGACATAATTACATCTTTGTTTTATAAGTATACTATGATGGCAGTTTTGAGTGATGTTAGAGAAGCAAGTTAGATGGTTATTGTAGTCCGGGTGAGGGAATAGCAAAGAGTAGAGAGGTTGGAGTTCAGCGACGCTGAACACACTGAATCTACCGGATTTGATGACTGTGATTGAGAAAGAAAAAGTAAAGCCAACTTTTGTATTTTTATCATGAGTGGCTCAGGTTAGTGATAGCAATTTTATTAATAAGAGGAGGTCTAGTTTAGGGGCTGGGAAAGATGCTCATTTTGGTTTTGTATGTGTTAATTTGTGTGAAAGATATTTCCATAGAGAATGAATTATATATAAAGACATAAAATCCACCTATGACAGATTCAGGAGAAACCTTAAGCTCTTTTGTTAAGAAATTTGGCATATATTTTCACTGGCTTTAGTCTGTCATTCATAGAATTTCTTTTGAACTTTCTGTGGCTTGTTCAGTCTTGTTTGAGGGTATGTTGTCTAGAGTAGTGGCCTTCAGGCTTTTTTTGATTGTGTATACTCTCTAAGAAAGGTTTATACATGTACCTTCAATATATTTGTATTTATTTACTGATGAGTTGTGTACATGTCTTACAGTATTATTGTATACATTTTGAAACATATATAGAAAGTGGAAATTTTAAAGAGGCTGAGACAAATATAAATTGGAGTTTTACTGTTTCTTCCTACATTCCATTGGATCATCTTGCCGCCCCTCTTTGGAAAGCACTCCTCTTATCTAGCTGTCAGTGTTCTGTCCAATTATCCAGTAGAGGTCACCCTTGAGCATCTGAAAGAACAAATTACTGAGCTGTGCAAAGTAAAGCCTCTCCTTTAGTTAAAAGGAAGACCTTATTTATTTATTTTTTTTAAAGTTTCTAACTTCATGCATTTTTGGAAGAGTATATAGTTGCAGGGTAGCATGCAGTATTATGGAGAAGTGAAGAATAGTGGACTCAAAGAGTATAGCACAATCTAAAATGTGTTTTTGTTTGATATTTTCCTTGTGAACAGTCTGCATTTTTGTATGAATGTTATTTGATTCTACAGTTTGGGAATATTTTTCCAGTTCTTTGAGTATCTGTAGATTATCTGAGCTATGGGAATGTCCCCAGTCTGTAGGCATAATCCCAAGTTCTTGTTAAATAGGAGTAATTAAAAGGATAGACACAGAGGGGCTTTTTTTGATATTGATCTTGAAAACTGCATCTCAAGCCCAGAGATATTAGTGGTGAGTTGAAACCATCTAGCTCTATTATCTATTTTATGCTGCATTAGGAGAGAGGAAGAGGGAGGTGCCCCCTTTAAGTGATAAGAGCCCATCGTAAGTAATTAGAAACCAAGAACTAAGTCCGACACAACTGTATAGTCTGAAAAGGAGAAAGTACAATTTAAAAAATATATTTGTTGTTGTATGATTCAGACCACAAGTAGCTTAGGAAAATGAATTATCTGATAAGAATAGTTTTTGCTTTCCTCATAAAATATTTCCTATAAATAGAGATGCTCATTGTAGTAGGGACCTGTGGTTATTATCATACATTTCATGACTTATTTTTGAGTGATCAGGAAAATGAGTTATTGAGGTTTTAGCCACTTGTACAAAGTTACATGTGTTGTGAAACAGATGCAGAGAGCCCCTGGGTTAGTCTTTTGTAATGTGGTGTGTTGGGGAGAATGGTAAGAGTACCTTTTTAAACATGTCTCGCAGCATAGTCCCGCATGTGGTGGACTATTTGGATTAAATATCCCAACTAGATCATTTTGAAGATGAACATTGGTTTGGAGTTATTGGATTACAACCAAGGGGACAATAAAATAAATCGAATGAGGAGGTTGGGATCTGGAGCTGTTGACCAGTGGTCTAGATAAGCTGAGAATTAGGCTCTAGTAATAGCCTGGATTTAAAGAGTGCCATTTACCTAGAAAAATATGTTTATGGTGCAAATTAGGAATTCTGAAGTGTTGATTTTCAGGGCTAGATTAGGGTTTGATAACCAGGATGTGAGAACAGAGGCAAGGAAGTCTGATATCTATGGGTGAGGGCAAGGCCAAAGCTCTGGGAAGTTGGAAGACAAGGCGGAACTGAAAACATCAGTTAGTAGGAATAAACCAAAGATTTGGCAATCAGGAGAATAAAGCAGAGATGGAGAGGGGCAGCTGGCTTGAATAGCCAAGGCGGGTCAGGCCAAATAGGAGAGCAAGGTAAAGGTAGGAGTAATGCTGGAGCAGTGATGATGCTATACTGCCTTTCTTTATGTTAAGAATGTATGGAGCCCAGGCCCTCAGATAACTAGAAGTAACAAGCTAGAGAGTGGGAAAACGGTGGCTGGATTGTTACCACAGCAGCAGGAGAGCTGGAGCTACAGGTATCTTATAGAAATGACCATGGTGCTTCTAGGATTATAATGTGTTTTTTTTAGCTATTTAATGCATGCATTTATATAATATTTTACATGTCTTACACAGCATTCCAAGAGTTTGGGGCTACTTGACCATTCTGGCACCACGAAATCTCTTGTATGTGAGAAGTAACTTTCTCTTTGGTTCAAGATGGATGATCCGATTTTCAACAGAAATCCTCTTCAAGCCAGTTTCATTTAGGCTTTTTGGTGTGAAGTGTGATCATGAAGACAGTAAGCCTTTGGAGAATGAACTACTGAATAACTTACTTACTATGGGAGTAGATGTTGACATGGCGAAGAAACGACAGCCTGGAGTTTTTAATAGGACAGGTATTAATGAGCAGGACCTGAAGATGTTCCTTCTGTCCAAAGGAGCCAGCAACGAAGTGATTGCTAGCATCATATCGAGATACCCACGAGCCTTAACACGCACAACTGAAAATCTTTCAAAACGGTGGGATTTGTGGAGAACAATTATGACATCGGATCTTGAAATTCTAAATATTTTGGAACGTTCTCCTGAGTCGTTTTTTCGGTCCAATAACAACGTAAACCTAGAGAATAATATAAAGTTTTTGTCCTCGTTTGGATTGACCCGTAAATGCCTTTGTCGGTTGTTGACCAATGCCTCACGTACCTTCTCCAATAGTCTTGATTTGAATAAACAGATGATTGAATTTTTACAGGAAGTCTGTTTGTCCTTAGGTCACAGAGATCCCGTAGATTTTGTCAGGAAAATAATTTTTAAAAACCCTTTTATCTTAATTCAGAGCACCAAACGGGTAAAAGCTAACATTAAGTTTTTACAGTCAACGTTCAACTTGAACAATGAGGAGCTGCTTGCTCTGATACGTGGTCCAGGAGCTGAAATCCTAGACCTTTCCAATGACTGTGCCAAAAGAAACTACACAAATGTCAAAGAGAAACTCTTTTCTCTTGGATGTACTGAACAAGAGGTGCAGAAGTTTGTCTTGAGCTATCCAGAGGTGATCTTCTTGGGAGAGAAAAAATTTAATGATAAAATAGACTGCCTCACAGAAGAAAAAATTAGCATCTCACAAATAATTGAAAATCCTCGGATTTTGGATTCAAGCATAAGTACTTTAAAAAGTCGAATCAAAGAATTGGTGGATGCTGGCTATGACTTGAGTACATCAAACATCACTCTTCTGTCTTGGAGTCAAAAAAGATACAAAGCTAAACTGAAAAAGTTAAACACTGGATAGTGCATTATTCTGGGGAATTAAATCTTATCGTGATATCTTTTCACTTTGAATTTGGACCTTTCAAAAAGGAGAGGTTTGAGTTCTTAACCACATATACATATATAATGAATGATCCTTTGGATGTTCTATTTTAAAGGTTCTTAAAAATTCATGGTCAGTATGCTCAAGTATAGTCTTCCCAGCTACCTCTTCTCAAGTTTGAATTAATATAGTATCCTGTTATATGATATAGGCTGTGTAGATGGTACTTCCTGAGTGCCAAGGCAGAACAATGTATCGAAAGGTAGAAGACACAAAATAAGCTTTTTTAGGGGGAAGGAGGTTGTTCAAATTAAAAAATTTATAAGATTCATGTAGGTCCATTTTCTCATGGATTTGAGTAGCAACCTATTCTATTTTCACATACCTAATTATGGTTCATCTTCAAAGTAAGAATGCCAGTAAAAATTTGAAAAAGTAGAAAGGAGGGGTTTTTCATCCCAAGTTCTACATTCTTTATTTAAACCATTAATATGCTCCCCTCCTGCCCCCCTTTAGGCTCAATTTACTGTGAGTATAATACTGATTTCTTTAAAGACAAGGACAACTGTGTAGGCAGAATAATTGCCACTCAAAGATGTCAATGTCATAATTACCAGAACCTGTGAATATGTTAAGTTGCAAAAGGACTTTGCAGATAGGATTAAGTTAAGGACCCTGAGATGAGATTACCTGGATTATTTGGGTGAGTCCAGTGTAATCATAAGGGCCCTTAAAAGTGGAAGAGGGAGGTACAAGGAGGTCCAGTGATGTGATGATAGAATGACTTACTTTTACTGGCTTTGAAGGAGAAGGGGCCACATGCCCAGGAACACAGGTAACCTCTATAAAATGTAAAAAGCAAGGAAACATTCCTTCCCCCAGAAGGAAATGCAGCCCTGCCAGGACCTTGAATTAGGCCCAGTGAGACCTGTGTCAAACTTCTGACCTGCAGAATCATAAGATAATTTGTGGTGTTTTAAGCCTCTGAGTTTGCGATATTTTGTTACAGCAGCAAATAGAATAACACAACAACTAAATAGATGATTAGTTCCATTATAGGTGAAGCCACAAAATGTGATCCTTTTATTATATCTGTATTTCTTCCAATGACCTTTATAATGGCTAATAAGTTAGTATTTGTAAAGTCCTCTAAATGTTTGGATAGGAACTAAATGTGAATAATAAAACCTAAATAAAAGAATATTTTTGCCTACTGAATGTAATTTAAAGAAATGGCAATTTCTTATATATTGTTGGCATTTCATCTAATATAAAGAACAAGGAATTTCTAGAAGCATAGACTTAAAAAAGACAAATCAGATGATGTCTGTAACTTAGTTCTTTTTTTCTTTTTTTTTTTAAATCCTCACAGGATATTTTTTCCATTGCTTTTCAGAGAGTGGAAGGGGGAGAGAGAGAAGAGAGAAACATCAATTGGTTACCTCCCATGTCCTTGGCCAGAATTGAACCTGAGGCCCTTTCGTCTGCTGGTTGACGCGCTGAGCCAAACTGGCCAGGGCTGATGTTTGTATCTTGAGGACATTTACACTCTAGCTCTGATAGAAACTGAAAGAGAAGGGACAAATTGCATAACCTTAATTACTTTTAATTGTTTTCTAGAGCCATTTGTTTTCTAGATGTGGATTTTGAATTAAATAACAATGGTGTCCAACCTTTTAAGCCTTATTTCCTATCAGTGATGCTTCAAAAAAACTTATTCCCACCACTGATAAAAACAAAATGCCTGCCCTTTCAAGGCCATTTGTATGTTAATGATACTCTTATTCTGAATATTTTCAATATGCTATTTGATGGCAGACATAGTTTAGAAAACGGGCTTTAGAGAGACCTTTCTTTAGAGGGACATAATCTAGGCACCATTCTTGAAAAGCTCTGTAACTGAGTAAACATTTTAAGCTTACTGAATTTGTTTTCTCATCTCTAAGATTAAAAATTGACCTTGTGGATTTGGTAAGAGTCTCTAAGGTTTTTTGCACATAGTAACTATTCAGTGGTAGCTGTAATAAAAAGTTAGAGTATTTTTAGAACTAAATGGCTTTATTAATATATAATTTACATACCACACAATTCACCAATTTAAAGTATGCAATTTTGTTTTTTTGTCAATCATCTGAGGATATTCTTTCCATTAATTTCTAGAGAGAGTGGAAGGGGGGGGGAAGAGAGTGAGAGGGGGAGAAAGTGAGAGAGAGAAACATCCATGTGAGAGAAATACATCAATTGGTTGCCTCCCACATGCGCCCTGACCAGGGCTGGGGATCGAACCTCAACCCAGATATGTGCCTTTGACCGGGAATCGAACCAGCAAACCCTTTGGTATGCAGGCCGATACTCTAACCACTGAGCCACACCAGCCAGGGCTGCAGTTTATTTTTTTTTATATTTATAGGGCTGTGTAATCATCACTATAATCTAATTTTAGAATATGTTTGTACCTCCTAAAAGAAGCCCTGTACCCATTAATGGTCAATCTTCATTATCCCCCTCCTACTTTCCCAGCCCTAAGCAATCACTGATCTACTTTCTGTCTATAAATTTGCCTATTCTGGACATTTCATATAAATGGGATCATACAATCTGTGGTCTTTTGCAACTGGCTGCTTTCACTTAACACAATGTTTTCAAAATTCATCCATGTAGCATGTGTCAGTATTCCATTCCTTATAATTGCCAAATAATACTCCATTGTATGGGTCCAGTAGTATTATTGGGAGAATATTTTATTGTTAAGACTTAAACATAAGTCTTAACAGTAATTTCTCAGTCTACTGAATTGTATGGGAGTATTTTCTGAGGTATTACTTCAGAATCTAACAAGTTTATAAGGACCTTGAGAGAGGCTGGCAGAGGAGATAAAAATTTATTGGCATCAACCGGTCATGAGGATTATGCCTGGGTTGACAAGAGCTGTATAGCAGCAGTAGTTGCCAGTGACCAAGGAGAAGGTGGGATGCATGAAGTACAATACAGCACTTGTTTGGGGCTTGGGGAGGAACAACATTGTAGAAACAAATGGATAATGCCTGTCAGGCAGTATTAACATATCATATTTTAAGGTTTGAGTCTGATTGAGGGAGAGTCAATTCTTTAAAAGTTTACTGAATTATACAATTTTTAAGTAATTTTTTTATGAGTAAAAAGAAAATTCGTCTATAATGGGAAAAATGGAAAATAAGTCACCAAGAAACCAGGAAAAAACCCACTCTATTCTTATCTCCCAGAGAGATAGTTTGGTGACTGTTTTCTTTGCATCCATGTAGCCATACATGGATGTACTATAGATATGTGGCATATACAGGGTGTCCCCCAAAATATACATACTTTAACAGCTGATAACTCAATTTTGAAAATGAAATATATTTTAATAAACTGCCTTTATAATTACTCAAAATGTGTAGACATTTTGGGGGGACACCCTATGTATTTAAGTAGAGATCAAACTATTTTATAAGTTGCATTTTTTTAATGTAATAGGTCCTGAACATATTAAATATTTTTCAGTAATTAATTACAGAATCAATTGAGTATTTATACCTGTAGCATGATTTTTAATGGTTGCATGAAATTCTGTCACTTGGATAAACCGTAATTTCTCTATTCAATCTCTTACCATTAGATGGGGTAAATTTTTGTACATTAGTAATTTATTGAAAATACCACCTAGATTAGTTCAGCATTCCACAGTGTTATACATACCATTTCCCCCCCATCATCGGTGTACTTTATAAGGTAAAATTTTGCTCTGGAAAATGTGAATGTTAAGAATACTGCATTTTTCTATTCTCCAAAATGTCTGATGTATCTGCAAAACTTCATTAAAAAAAAAAGTTTTTATTTATTTTTTTAGAGAGAGGAAGGGAGGGGTATAGAGAGATAGAAACATCTATGAGAGGAAAACATCAATTGGCTGATCCCCTACTGCGGATCGAGCCTGCAACTCAGGCATGTGACCTGACAGGGAATCCAACCAGAGACCTTTTGGTTCATGGGTCAACGCTGAACCACTAAGCCACACTGGCTGGGCAAAACTTCATCTTTTTAATGGAAACCATCTGTCTGTTCTAAATTACTGCATAAATTTGAGGACTTTCAAATAACTACAAGAATTAGGACAATATAAAATGTTAAAGAGAAAAAAGTGAGTTTATCATGAACCCAGCAGGAAGGAATAAAAAATAAGTAGTATTTATAAAAGGGTTTATTGGGTTAGTAAACTAGTCATTTCTCTCCTTAAATCAGGGGTTGGCAAAAGTAGGTTTACAGTTGTGAGTATATGAAACAGTTTATTCTTATATTATTATTGTATTATTTTCTATATGAGCAACTATAAACCTACTTTTGCCCATCCCTGTATAATTTCTAAGGCTTGGATAGGTAACATGGTTTGTTCCTAGAGATCCAAAAATATGGCTTTTACGTGAAAAATTTGGCTATTGACTCCTTCCCTGTGGACTCTAATGCCCCACACTTCACACCCAGAAGTATGATCCAGTGGAGAATCTGTTGATGGCAAAACACTAGTCACAACTTTAGTAATAGGCAATTGTTACATAGTCCAGGAAGAGCTTGGCACAAGCAAAGAGGATAGTGGGACTATATTATTTTTAGATTTGGGGAAGAAATCATAGCAAAAGCCCAGCTGCCCAACATCGGAGAGTCGGGATGAGCTGTGACGCAGTCATGAGGGCCCTGTAGGGATTATCTCTGGAGGGACTAGGTCTTCGGGTCAGACTGGCCTGCAGGGGACTTGGGAGGCAGGCGTTCTAAACTGGCCGAGGTCTCAGGACTCAGGTCATTTGTTCACTCCTTAGTTTAGTCACTGTTGACTCAGGAACCTGGTACAGGACAGAGCTGCAATAGGAGCTGAGAGAAAGGCAGCTGTGGGGAATGTTACAACCAGGCCGTGCATCTCTTGCTCATTTTTAGGTTTCTGATATCCCCCAATGACACTGCTGTCTCTTCACTTTCTTCTGGTCTTTTCGAGATGGTTGATGTCTGCCCTTTTGCTTTCACACTCCCCACATGCCCTCAGTTCACAGAGGTCGTTAATGGAAAGGAAAAAACCAAAATGCATATAGAATTTTTTTTAGTCTTTTGACTAATTTTTGAGTGGAGTTTGGTACAGAGGTAGAAGACATACTGATGGAATCCCATTTTCTCTCAGTTTTACTACTAATCAGGTGAAATTCATTTTTCTTTAATAGAAGTATTGTGTGAAGATTAATGAGCTTATTAACGTACATGACCTGCTTTGTGTTAATTATGAAAAATTTTAATATGATGGTGTGATAATTCTCCCATCTACACGTTGAATATCCCAGTGCCACCTTCACCAGCTGTCAAAATACCTTCAATTTATGTCCACCCCGGTTGTCTTCCTTATTTTTACAATGGAAATGAATTTATTTTCTGAAAATACATAGTAAAAGCCTTTGAACAATACAAAGAACCAAAGTCCCAGCTAACCTATTTATCATGAGACTGAGGAAATACTCTTTCATTCTTAGTTCATGAAGAGGTTTATTTATTTAAATCAAGGATGAATGATAATTTTTGAAAAAATCCTTTAAAAAATCATCTTTTCTTCATTAATGAATATCAGTTTATTTCTTCAAATCTTCATTTGTTTTACTGAAAAACAAAAAACAAAACCTATGCCAAATTTAATTAATATTTTACTTAAGATTTTAAAATTAGTATTCACAGGGGGAGATTGTTCTACAGATTTCCCCTCCCCTCATTATTATTGAAGTTTTTTGGGTAGATCCTTTGTTTGTTAGGTGCCACTTTGTTCGGTTTTTGGATCAGGATTGTGCCAGCCTCACAAAATTAATTTGGAAGCTTATTTTCCCCTATGCTTTGAAACCATTTGAAAATGGTGAAAACTATCCATTTCTTTAAAGCTTGGCAGAACTTGCCTGTGAAATCATCTGGACCTGGTGTCTTGTTCAGGATAGATCCTTGGCAACAATAGAAAGTTGCTGTGAAGGCTATTTAAAGGCTTTTTGCCAGTGTATTTTTTTGGTAGATGCCAGTTTAAAGCTCTCTCTTGTCCTAGTTAATGCATTTTGCTTTGAATTCTACATTGATATTATTTTCATGGCTATGCTTTTTGTCCACACAAAGACTTATACATGCATATTCATAACAGCTTACCTTGTAATAACCAAAATCTAGTAGCAAACCAATGTTCATCAACAGG